AAAAAAAAAAACCCTCATTTGAAGTAGTGCCTGGCCCCAGGGCCCGGCCCCCTGGCCATCCCCCACAGCGGTGTTGCTATCTCTGCATTCTGCCAGCATGTAGCCTTGTTCTCCTTAATCACCCCATTTTAAAGAAGACAAAACTGAGGCTCCGCGAGGGTCTGTAACTCCTGCGGGCCACGACAATAACAGCACTAATGTAACAAGACTGGAAACGCTTAGTACCGATTTGGGGCCCCAGCGTGGCCACATGGACCGCCCGCGGCTTTAAGTCCACTCTGGGCATCCTCTGGGGTCCGAGCACGCCCCCTGGCACCCCCTCCCAGCCCCTGCCCTTCAGCTCCACTCAGCACCGCGAGAAGGCGGCTCCAGGCAGACCTACCGGTGGGAGCAGTTCTTGGGGCTCCTCGGTGGGTTCCCAGAGGGCGCCATGGCCCTGTGACCAGAGCCTCACCCCTCCCTCCCCTTTTATCCTTGGATTTCAAAGCACTTTACACTCATGCACTAATTAGAGAAGACACCTTCCTGGACTCCGGAGAAGCAGGTATTAGTAATTAACTGTCTCTAGTGGGGCCGCGGGGCACAGGCCTGCAACACTACTAATTTTAGGACATCCTCACAGGATGTGGGCAGGACAGCCTTGATGCCGCCTCCTCAGGGGCCTCCCAGACTACCTGACCCAAAGCAGTGCCCTCTCTCCCTCACGCGTCTGCTCTGTCCCTGCGTCATTCACTTTTTTAAAGATTTTTTTATTTGCCATACAGGACTGGGGTACAGGCCAGAGGTGCGGGGGTTAAGAGGCTTCACCAGAGACAGAGCGGGGAGCAGCACAGGCAGACTGACACCGTACACTGCTGAGGGAGCAGCGGGCGGGTCAGGAGAGGTCTGCCGCGCCGTGTGGGTCACCGCCCTGGCCGGGGATCGAACTCGCACTGAAGTGGCTGCGCCAGCTTTGCAGTGCTGCGCTTTAACCTGTTGCGCCACCAGGGAGGATCCCTGCGTCATTCTTACATGTCTTTTTGAATTGTGTATTTATTTGGTAGAATACTGACTTAAAATAGAGGCCGCTGCTGCATGCGTGGAGCAGCCAGTAGGCACTGGTTTTGTACCTGCCTCAAGTGAACTCCTCAGACACAGAAAGCGTAAGTGACTTCTCTGAGGTCACACAGCTAGTGAGGAAGTTGTGTTTCATCGTTTATTTGTGTTGTGGTTAGTGTTTGTCTCCCCCACCCCCCCCATCATCCACTCATTCATATTTTCTTCCATCCACACAGCTGTCCATCCATCCATTTATTATAATATTCATTTAGTCAAAAACAGCGCCTGGCACAGAGTAGATGCTCGATAAAAACTTGTAGCTTGAACGAACTCAGAGCCCAGCGCACTGCCTGTGTGAAGGCGGGAGTCTCTTCCATGCCAGGGACGAAGAAGAACTCCTGTGGGGGCCTCTGAATCCCCCACTCATGCCTTAGCTCAAGCTGTTCCTTCTGGGGCCTTCCTTTCCCTTAATTTAGATCAGGGGTTGGTAAACCATGGCCAGGGAGGCCAAATCTGGCCCATCACCTGATTTTACAAATAAAGCTTATGGGAACATAGCCAATACAGCCCATATTTGCTTAAGGATTATCTATGGCTGGTTTTGATCTAGAGTAGCAGAGCTGAGCAGCTGCAAGAACTCTATGGAGCCTAAAGATTCACTATCTGGCCTTTTACAGAAAAGTTTGCCAACCTTGATCTAGCTGGGCTTTCCACAGCCTTTAAGCATGCGCTGAAATGCCCCCCCTCCTTCAGAAAGTATTTTGTGATCTCCTCAGCTGGGCTAACCGCCCCTGTGATATGCCGCCATAGCCCCACGCCTCTCTCTAAAACAGTGTTTCGAAACCTTCCTGGACTCCAGAACTCTTTGAACTTTTTCCTAGTTGCCAGCCCCCACCCGCTCCCCTCCGCCCCTCAAATCTTAATATGCCGATAAGTTGTGTGATGTTGATGAACTACAGCGCCTTAAGGGTGACAAACCATTGTAATGTTCAAGATTATTTTGGCCCTGTTGAGAACGCATGCTAACGGGATTCTTGTTACCTTCATTAATTCAGTGGAACAGAATTCCTGAGCACTTACTACAGCTACAGCCTGTTCTCAGCACTGGGGACATATGGTGACGGCAGCAGAGACAGCCTCCGCATCTCGGGGGCTCACCAGGTCGCTCTCACCTGCCTCTGAGGAACTTAGAGGCAGAGACCTGGCAAACGCAACTTCATGTAAGATACGGTGTCCCGAGCCGGCACATAGCAGGTGCTTAGTAAACTTGCTAATCTGAGTAGTTCTGGACATATAAAAACACCAAAGGGATGGATGACTGGGACAAATCAAATTGCATTGGCATAGAGCCAATGTTAGATTTTTCGACTGAGGATTGTATTTGAGAGATTTTGCGGGCCCGCTGTCACTCAGTCAATCAACAAATGCTTATTTGTTATATAATCTGCACCAGTAAGTCATGGTTAGGCACCACCTTTTCCTAGGCTCTATAGAATATAGTTGTCACAGACTGCTGGTCCCAACTATGGATTTCTACTGTTTTTCGCAGTATTAAAAAATAACATACACAAGTTAGAAGCTGGAAGATTTCATATAAAATTCTGAACTGTCTTTTCTGGAACTAAAAGGATTACTAACCTGTATTCCTCCTTGGCAGAAATCAGAGCAGAACAGCAGCTTCCCCTCAGATAGGATATATGCTCACCACTTTGCCCCAGTCTCCACCTCCCCTTGACGTCTTCCTGACCCTGAGACAAGAGATGGTTGTTATTCAGTGATTCCTTAACACTGAACCCCTTCACTCCTCCCAGGCTCCTAAAGGTTTTTGATCTCTAGGGTGTGATGAAGGTGCGCCACAGTTAGAGACTGGGGTTCAGTCTTCGCACTGATAGTCTGCTGGTTCTCAGATCTACACCCCACCTTTCCCTCATTCTATATTTCCCCACTTCCCTGCTCTCTGGCTTCCTCCTTGATCTGGCCCATGTTAGAGGCCTGAGTCCTTCTCTTTCTCTGTGCGCAAGGCCTTAGACTGCAGCTCCCGCCTGTCAGACCTTCCCTGGTCCTAGTCTTCACTTCAGGGGTCCCTCCTCCTCCTCTGTCCCTCTGGCTCCAGGGGTAGGACCACAACCATTCACGTGGCAGCTTCCTATAGCTGGACTGCCTGCACTCCTGGGGCCGCTCAGCTACTCCACCTTGTAATCAATCCCCATGTTAAATCCTCTCAGTTGAAGGACCTGCGTGTGTGCCTGGAGGCAAGTGTCCCCTTCTCAGGGGACACAGGACATTGGGTGCTTGAGCTCAGATCCTCTGCTCACTGCCAATTGCTAAGCTCCCCAGGGAGGGATAGCATCTTTCTCTCTTCTTGACATGAGCTGGAAGGATCTGCTGGAAGTACAAGTGTGGCAGAAGGAAAGGTCCTTCTGGAACTCCTGATGATCAGCACTTGAGTGAGATGGGCAGTGGGTTGGCATCAATACTGTTACATGGTGGGGTGAGGGGCTTCAATGTCTAGCTGGAGTCTGAAACTGTTGGAAGGAGCAAGACCTGGGCCTCAAGTTGGGAGGCCAAGAAGTGTGTTATTCTTCCTGCATTTAGGAACTTGCAGTCCTGCGCCACAGCAACCACATTGGTGGGTGGTTAACTGATTACAAACAGAAGTGAGCACACTTTCATCTGCATTGGGTGGGCAATACAGGGAATCCTTCATTGGCTATGTATGTGCATGTGTATGTGTGTCGCATGTGTGCCTGTGCTTGTCCAGCTGAAGGATTTTAGAAACAAGTGTCTGCAATGTGCTGGAACATGAGGTGGGGTGTGTGTGTGTGTGTGTGTGTGTGTGTGTGTGTGTGTGTGTGGCAAGGGGGGGGTAGGTTAAACATCTGTCCAGCCCTTGCCTGGCATCTGTCCTTTACGGGAACAGTAACATAGCTGTTTTGCTCTGCGTGTTCTCCTGAGCCCGACACATGGAGTTCCGTAAGTGTTAAGAGAAGCCTGGGTTCTCGTTGGTTTGTTCCCTTGCACAGTTCTGGTGTGGTCTCTGGGATCTGCCCCTGGGCATTTGCACTTGCTGCTTTCCCTGGCTTGACAGGGACAAGGCTGCTCACTTAGCAGCTAATACTACATCTCAGCTCCAGGGTCACCTTCTCAAGGAAGCCCTCCCTGATTTTCTAGACAAGGCTTGGTCCTCCTGCCAAACATCCTCTCGTCACTCACTGATTTTTCTCTCCACCACTTAAACATGCGACTACTTATCCAAAAAACACCCATCAAGTACTGTTCCGTTCAAGGATTTGTTTCAGACACTCGGGACATAGCCCTGCTCTCATGGAGGTCACCTTCAACAAGTAACCTTCAGACAACTTCAGACTGATGTGTGCTATGAAGTAAACAAAACATGAGAAAAACTGGACCAGGGAGAGGGACCAGCCAGTGCAAAGGCCCTGAGGCGGGCGCATGCCCAGTGCAGAGTAATCGCCAGAAGGCCATTGAGGCTGGCGCACAGAGGAAAAAGGCGGGCTCAGGGTCATACATGGTGGGCCGTGGGGGTCACAGCGAGGACTCCGCATTTGACCTGGTTGCAGAAGGCCGCAGTCAGGTCTGAACAAGGCCTGCGTCTCCATGGCCCAGCTCTATCATCACTTGTCATTCTGCTTTGGCGGGACTATGGGAATGGTGTCTGGCTTTGCAGTGTGAGTTCCAGAGACACAGTCACATCCATTCTGATCCCTGCTACCTGCGTGTGTGACTGTGGTGCACAAAGGTCTCAGGCGGTGTCCCCGGAAGCAGACACTGAGACAGGCGTTCAGGGTGTTTCTCTGGGAGGTGATCGGGGAAGTGAGAGTCGGGACACAAGACAAGGAAGGACAGCAATGTTTTTGAGCGGGTTACATAGTGGCCACTGGGGCTCAATCCCACTGAGGCCTGAGTCAGAGTAGAGCACACCTCCAGGGTGCACCCCCACCCCAGAGTGTGCCAGACTCAGTCTCCGGCCCCCCTCGGTCCCACTGCAGGGGTGTCCTACTGGGCGTGTCCTCCAACGCATGGGCTCATTGAACTCTGGTGGTCAGAGAGTCCTCAGCAAAGAGATGCAGGCCTGGTGAGTGGACGCCAGGGAGAGGGTGTTGGGGCTATGTGTAAGGAGACGAGTGACTGTTGCTGATAGCATAGGCAAGAGAAACGCCTCTCAACGCAGGCGGGCAATTCTGCTTAAATTTTCAGAGAATTTCCAGAGTTCCTCAGGGGGTTAGCTTTTGTTCCCATTTCTTGATTTTTGTGTGGCCGGCATGGAAATTTCTGGAAGTCTGCCCTGCCACCTCCCACGAGGCCAGTGCTCACCACATCCTGGGAATTTGGGGAGGAGAGACTGGGATTTTTTTTTCCTAGGAAGAAGTTTTCTTAACCATCCTCAATTTTATCAGCATTCAGCCTTCTCTTACCTGGGCCTGAAGCCTGCCCTGAATTCCAGGCGCAAAACCTTGCCCTCCTTCCCCCGCTGGGAAAACCGGATAGTATTAGATGGCACCCTGCCCTCCACCCACCACCCGGAAACTGGCCTGACTGGCATCGGGGCGGCTGGGGAGGAAGGCAGAGCTGTTTGAACACGTCCTTCCCTGCCCTCTGGAGAGGTGGGAGACAGCGGAGTGAGCCGCGTAGATGGGGTGAGGTTATAGTCTCCCCTGATGCACGGTGCCGTGAACGGATCTGTGTGAGCAGGGTGGGTGGGTGGTATGAGGATGCAGTGGGCAGAGAGAACCCTCTTAGGAAAGGAAGTCAAAGAACCCTGCCCATTACCTGGAACCCGGAGGCCTCTCACCTCCCCTGGGCACTAACCCTATGAGCAGGGGTCCTCACCCACATCACGGCTGACATTGGGGGCTCAGTAGTTCTCTCTGGTGGGTGCTTGTGTGTCGTGGGTGTTAGTGGCATCCCTGATCCGTATCAACTAGACCCCTCCCGCAGATGTGACAATCAAAAATACGTAACCTTACTAAATGTGTCCTAGGGTAGAAAATTACCCCTGGTGGAGGACCACTGCATTAGAAGCACAAGAATTGACTGCTCCAAGTCCCATGTGAAGTGATTTGTGTGTCTTACAACAAACGCGCCAGGTTGAGACCAATATGGCAGCCACATTGTCGTGCCCAGCAAGCTAACTTGTTGTTCTCCTCTCCTTGGGGTGTCACCCCCTCATAGCCACATTCCAGTCAATGAGAAAAGGAAACGGGGAAAGACATATGCCTTGTCTTAAAAATACAGCTAGAAAGTTGTCCACATAGCCCAGGACTACATAGCTGAGGATTCCATTGGTCAGAGTTGGTCACATGGTCACTTCTAGCTGCAAGGGGGTTGGGAAATGTAGTCTTTCTACAGCTCAGCTACAAGCGCCTAACTAGGGAGGTAGGGAAGGCTACATTGGGGTAATTAGCAGTCTTGACCACATCCCATTTCACAGGTGCAGAAACTAAGGCAATGTGGTTAAGTGGCTTCTTCAAGGTCACACAGAGAATAAGGATATAAAACAGGAAAATGTGCCCTATAGGGGCGCACGACCAGCTTTCTCCCTTTGAGCATTATCCATTGCAATGTACTCACTCCGAGGGTTTCCTTTAGAGGATGCTGGGAGTTTCTCCTGGGCTGATGAGTTTCCTTCCGCCCCTACAGCCATGGTATGACCTCAAAATAACCAGGTCATTTCTCTAGTGAAGCAAAGGACCCATGGTCCTGCTTCTTTCCATGTCCAGGTGAACTATATGCTGAAGCAATTTTCAGATGGAAAGATTCCCTTAAGCTGTAAGAAAACAGACGCAGATTTGAGAAGGGGCGTTCTCAAGACCACACAGCCAGCTCTCGGCAGAACCAAGATCAGGACCCTAGAGGAGGGGCCAGGCAACATGCCACTTCCAGCTTCTCCACCTGCTTGTTGCCTGTGTCTGGTGCTTGTGGGCTTTACTGTCTTAATCCCTTTATCACTGTGTTAGTGACATTTCTACAAGCTGAGACTCATCCTATGGTGACTCTGAGAACCTGGGCTTTGCTTGAAGTAAGAGGTGACAGGTTCAGTCCCGGGAGAGGGATTCTGATTGGTCTAAACCAGTCACACCATCCCACTCCTCTAGTATAATGCATTCTCCCAACCTCCCTTGTAGCATGGAGCAGACATAGGGCCATTTGTGGCCAATAGATGTGAGGGAATCCCTCCAAGAACATTGCAGGTGGGAGATTTTCTCCCCAGATTAAAAGAACTCAAAGAGGAGAGAGACACACAGCCACCCCAACTCAACACTTTCTTCCTGTCCTCAACTTTATTGAGGATGTGATGCTTGGGGCTGTAGCAGCTATCTTGCGACCATGAGGAGACAAGGCTAGCGGCAAAAAACCAACACACAGATGGCTGAATAGAAAGGCTGAAGACATGGGGACAATGAACAATATTATTGACCCTGAAAACACCTCCAGGCTCTTTCTCCTCTGATCTAATAAAATGCCTTACTGTTTAAACCACTGTTAGCGGGAATATTCTGAAATATGCAGCTGAAAGTGCTCCTAACTGCTCAGCGTTTCCTATGTTGGCTCTGAAGTTTCTGCCCCAATTCTAGATGGCAGGACGACCCTTCAATTCCATGAATAATGGACACCTGCCTCTCACTCCCGCTCCCTGGAAGCCATTGAATCTTCTTCAGTCCTCGCTAGATAGATGGCATGTAAGGAAACACATGCTGTGAGCCTTGGGAGGACCTTTGACATCTACTCAACTTAAAAGGGTCCATTTGCTTATATTTTGGGGTGAGGATACTTTGATGTATTAGAAACTCTCAGAGTTGCACAGCATTTGGGGGATTTTTGACTGTATGGCTTAGAAATGCTTGGATGCAGATAACAGAATCATAATGACTAACAGCTATATGCTGAGTATAACTTGCCAGGTACTTTAATAAGCTCTTCACGAACCCATTGAGTCTTTACAACAACCGCACGAGGAGATACTATCTTCCCTCCATTTTCAGACAGGGAAATCGAGCTTGTAAACAACACGGGGGGGGGGGGGGGGGAAGGGATGCTAGAGTTCACGCCCCTTGTTGCCCCTCTACAGAGCCAGTGAGCACCTACTTTAGCCCCAAGGTCATGTGTCATTGGCACGGTCACTCTGGAGCTCTTTGACCTCGCCTTCGCCATCCTCAGCACACTGGTTTCTGGTTACCTCATTAGAACAAGATGGAGGCTGTGATCAAACACACACTTCTCCCATCGCTGTGTCCAAGGGAAGGAAGAAGTGGCTCTCGGCCCCTAGACCTCCTGTTATGTCTCATTGGTCAGAAGTAGGTCATGTGCTCTCCTTGGACCAACCACAGACTGCGAGCCACGCCAGGCTAGACCAATCACCTTCACCTCTGGAGCTAGACACAATGTAGTGGGGACAAATCAGGATTCAGCTCTCCAAGAAGTGGGCTGCACTATGGGCTGGACAGCCAATGATGTCAACCCAGACGCTGTCATTCCCTGAAAAGTCCAGTGAGGCCTGTCTTTGGCTTTTCACATGTATTATCTCATCAAGTCTTCATGCTTATGATCCCTAACTTGAGGCCCAGACAACATCAATTGACTTGCCCCAAATCACCCGGACAGGAGAGGAGGAACCTAGATTCAAACACAGGGCTGTTCTCAGCCCTCTATGATGGGTTATCAGATAAAACACAGCATGCAATGACAGTGTGCAGATAAAGAGAAAATATTTTCATAGGTGGCAAACATTATCCAGGTCAACTTACACTAGGAAAAATATTTGTTGTGGATCTGAAGTTCAAATTTAAGTGAGCATCCATGATTTTTATTTGCAAAACTTGACCACCCTCTGAGGGTCCCGGGGCAGGAATCGTAATGGTGGTGTGAAAGTTTGGTCGCCTCTTACATGATAAACTCTGAGGAGTAGCCCAGGTCCACAGAGAAATGTGCATCTTCCCGTCTTTCCTGACACCTCACCTCTAGGGTTACTTTTCTCTTTTTGAGAAAAATAGGGGTTCAGAGAAACTTTCTCCACTCTCAGAAAAACAACAGCATATGTACTGTGATAAGTGGCAGCTGGCAAAGGCCTCAAGGCTAAGGAGGCAGGAGAGGTGGGGAGCCAGAGCACCCCTTCGCACACTCCCACCCCCAGTTGATCACTGCCAGGCCGAACGTGGGCTCATACAGTCAAACCTTCCAGTGCTTTAAAAGTGAGGCAGAAATCTGGAATTTTCTGTGAAATCTCTTGATTTGTGAACATTGGCTCAAATTTTGTTAAAATGCCATGTGGGCCAAATGAAACATATCTGCAGGCTTACGAGTAGCTGGGGGAAAACCTCTGTTGTTTGGCTTCGAGCGAGCAGGCTGCAGGCTGCAGGAGGGAGACAGGAGCCGCAGGAGGCAGCTGTGGCTGCCCAGAGAGCTGGGCTGGAGCCGCGGCCAGGCCTGTGTTCTGCTCTCCCGACCGGGCAATGCCGCGGGACCGTGGCTGGGGGCCAGGGCCTCTCTGTTTCCCAAACCACGCAGAGGGCGTCATCAAACCCGCCTCACCTTGTAACTCTGAGTTACCACTGGCGAAGCGGACACAGCCGGGCGCACGCGGGGCTGTGAGCCGGCTCCTTCCCGTCCCTGCCAGGCCCGTGCTTAGTTCACCGTGGATATTACTTTTTCCAGCTCTTTTCCTCTTTCTGCTCGCTCCCTCCTCCACTCTCACCCTTTCTCCCACCTTCCTTCCCACCCTTCCTTCCTCTTCCTTTTCCTCTTCCTTTCTGCTTTGAGTCTAACAGATCCCTGGGGGCAGGCAGGAGTCCTGGGACCAGGTCTTGGCTCTATTCCAGTTTTGGAGGGGGGGGAGAAAGGAGGGGGAGGGGCTATTCCTTGCAGAGCCTCAGTTTCCTCCTCTGTGAAATGGGCAGGTCTGACGGGAGCCATATAGATGCCCTCCCTAGCTAGTGCCAGGGTCACACAATTGTGGGGAGCCTTGTGGGGTGGAGGGGGGGCAGCGGCCTTGGTGGTGATGGGAGTGGTGGCTGGGGCAGCAGGCTGAGTCAGAGGGTGCTCTCGGGGCTGAGGAGCAAGAGAACATACCAGCACACGGTGCCCAGTGACTAGCAAACCACAGGAAGGCAGCGGCCGTGTCATCAACAGGCTGTAAACACCCTCCCAGAGGAGCCAGGTCTCTGCTTGTCTTGGGTCCAGCCACAGGCCCAGCCCAGGGATTTGGGGTCAGGGCTCGTAATAAATCATCCTGCCGGGAACATGGAAACCCTGAGTCCCCGCTACACCTCCTCCCCCTGCCCCCAGACTTTCTGGGATTGACCTCTGCTCACCTCCCTCTCACCCCCTCCCTCCTGCCAGGCTGCAGTCTGGTGAGTCTTGAACATGCAATTCTCCTCCTGCCTCCAGGGCTTTGCACAAGCTGTTCCCTCTACCTGGAATGTTCTCTCCCTCTCCTTCAGACCTCACCAAGAAGATTGTGCTTCCTCACGGTTCAAATTTCAACTCCAATCTCATGTCTGGCGGAAGCTTCCTGCGGTTCCCTGTGGACACAGGCACTCTTGCGGCCCCTCAGCACCCTTCACACCCTCGTAACCACCTGTCAGCTGGACCGACGCGGTGTCTGCTCGGCCCGTCTGCCCTTCTCCTGGGGGACCTGTGGAGCCCAACTGCTGAATGAACAAGTGAACGAAAGAACGAAGCTCGCCAGGGTTCCAGGTGATTTCCCAGACCAGCGAGCTCAGCGTCCTCCCAAAGGGACCCCACAGCCGGCCCAGTCATTCTGAGCCTCCACCTCCAGCTTCTTCCCGGGCACCAATGGGGAAAACCCCGAACTCCACCTGGCCTGACAGTGCCATCGGATTTAACCCTGCTGAGTCCTCCGCCCTGGCCCCTGCCAGCTGCCCTTTGTCCCCGCCGACTCCAGCCACAGGTCTCCTCGCTGTTTTTCCTCGCTGTTCCCTGCCTGGAAGCTCCGTCTCAACCGTGTCACCTGGGGGAGGCCTTCCCCACACCGCCTGCCCTCGGATCTCTCCGGTTTATTCCTTCACCACATGCATGAGTATCTGAAACGACCTCATTTATTTGCAAAATTCAATCAGCTTTTAGCTGTGCACAGTAAAGCTGGCGTTCCCAGCTTCCCTTGCAGCTAGGTACAGGAGTCTCGGGAGTTCTGGCCAGTGGGTTGCCAGTGGCAGTGTGTGTGGTGGTCTCTGGACCCCTCCTAGAGACTCAGCGGCAGCCTGTCCTTTACAAACCGCCCACCCCATCTGTGTCCCGCCACCTGGGGGGCACACGAGAATCTGGCGCTGTTGCCTCCGTCTTGGGTCAGGAGAAGGAGGGCTGTGTCCTGGAGATGGGAGGGCAGTGAGCAGGAAGGCACCCGGGACACTGAGGGCTTCCGGAGTCTCCCAACCCGCCCAAACTGTGTCCATCTGGACTTCATTCACACAGAGAAAAATAAACTCTTCTTTTGTTTATTGTTGATTTTTTTCAATTAAGTTTATTTTATTATGGCTACATTGTATGCCCTTAGCAGTACAATCTAATGTAAAAATGTCAGCTAGAATACATGCCAGTCTTTTTCTTTTAAAATGTCCTCAACAGACGTTTATCTGCTCTGTCATAATTTTAGCTGGAATTACCGGAAGAGCCCTGGGCCAGAGGGGGAGCGGGGGGTTGGTCACCTGAAGTCACAGAGCAGGGGAGTTTGACCCAAGGGCCCCATATCCAACCCCCCAATACTCCTTTCTCAGGAGATCCAGCTTGGAACTTCAGGTTCTGTCAGGAAAA